TTTTAAATTTGCTTGAAAAATGATCATATAGGCCTAAAATGAGTATTTTCTTATTATCACCATTAAATAATGAAAAAAATTGATAAATAAAAACAGCTCTAACACTTTTAATTTAAAAAATTAAAATTAACTACGTTGTAGCCCTTTTAACTCTCAACTAAATGGCACGCCAACAACTCTGTAAAGGTTATGCTTAAAAAGTTTTGCAGTTTTTGGGATTTTTCCCATATATCTTAAGGTGCTTCTTGGTGCGCTCTCTCTCTATTTACCCAGTATTTAATTGTTTTGCTTGTAAACACAGTAGGAACTTAAAGCTTATGAAAGAAAGCATGCGTTAATTTGCTGAAACGGTTTACTCTTTACTTATTTTGCGTTTTTGCTTAGCTGCTTGGTAGTAAACTTGACTCTAGTAATAAAAAATAGTAATCTCTGACAAATTTCCCATGTTTTTTTTTTCAGTAGGTATTCTTTATAATATAAAAACCTTTTCAACACAAAATACCTATGTTTGGATCTCTTTCTGTCTAAAAATTGATATTAGGATTTTTCAAAGGCCCGTCACTCCCATCAGTAATTTCTAATGTGTTATTTTTCAGGCCCCCAAGCCGCCAAAACCTGGACTCGAAAGTTCAGAAGGGCCCTTGGCTAAGAAACATGCGGGTGACAAGAAGTTAGCGGCAGACAAGAAGAAGTCTCTAAAAGATAAAAAAAGGACTTTGAAGAGGTTGTGAAGTGTGTAACTTAACTGTAAAAGCTGGTCTCTTAACAAAGATATAAATAATATATATAAATAAATGTACATATGCATGAATGAAATCATTTTAAATGTGTGGTTGTTTGATTTTAAGATGGTACACAGCGTGGTGTCACATCTGTTTAATTAGTGTAATGGATAGGTTTAACTATTCGAATAGATTTTTATAACTTTCTACTGTTTTGCACTATTTATTTGAAGTTTACCGCTTTTTGTATTACATAGTATAATTTGGCCACTTCCACCTAATTGTCTTTATTATTTCTATGTTCCCTTCTGTAGACCTTTTAAAGTTGATGAAACGTATTAAAATATATGTAGAATTTTTATCTTCCTTGTATGTACATTTTTTCCTCCTTACATTCATTTTTCAACTAGGTAATGCTAAATTAAGAAATAATCTGCGTTTTCAGAAAGTATATGATCAGAGTTAATTAACATGAAATTAGCTAGGGGTGTGCGAAGCAGCAAAAAAATTTTGATTTGATTCAAAAGATTTTCGATTTGAATTGATGCAACTCAATTTGAAGCAATAAGGCATTTTTCTATTCGTACTTGTCAATGGATAGAAATAACAATAAGCTAATTAAAATTTACCACATTTGTGTAATTAACATTTTTGTTGATGTGGTATTAGTCCTATTCATACAGGAATTTTTGGTGAAAAATATTTACTTTCAATCATATAGGCTATTAAAAGAAGAACCTGTATTGCTGGAAATGTCAGTGAGCTGCTTTACTTGCCTATTTCATAATTTAGATTTGAAGAGAAAGGGCTTATTGCCTGAAAATAAAAACATTTGCAAGGTTTTTTACTGATACTTTCAATTGGTTTACATTGATAAAATGACTAAAATGAGAGGATAGAATCAGTATCAGACCTACAAAAATACCAAATTTATCAGTCAAAACAAATGTTACTAGTTAAGTTAAGTATCAAGTAACAACTTTTCAGACTTGTGTTATTTTCAGAATGGTTTTGGTGACTTGTTTTGGCTATGTTTACAGTAGTTAAACATGTCTCACACTGCTTACACTTAGCAAAACTTATCATCATTTGCAATTTCAAAATTAAAGCAATGTTTACAAGCAAAGAATTAACTAAATAAGAACGCCTTCGCAAAGGAAACGCAACAACACGCGTTATCATTTGCAATGTCAAAATTAAAGCAATATTTACAAGCAAAGAATTAACTAAATAAGAACGCCTTCGCAAAGGAAACGCAACAACACGCGTTATCATTTGCAATGTCAAAATTAAAGCAATATTTACAAGCAAAGAATTAACTAAATAAGAACGACGTCGCAAAGGAAACGCAACAACACGCTGCTGTATTGCGGGTGTATTGCATTGACTTTCTGCAGGCGTTTTTTCGTATATGGAAAATGTATACTAGTGATGGGCGATACGGACGCGTATCGCGATACAGCGATACGACACGTATCGGAAAAAAATATCGTATCGCCGTATTGAATCGGGCGTCTGTATCGCGATACGCGAATCGTATCGTCAAAATATCGAAAAACGATACGTACCGGTATCGTATCGTTTCCCCCCCTCCCCTACCTAACCTAGAAACGGCAAATTTATTTAGGCACCTGGGGACCGAGCTTTGCTCGGGGAAAATCATTAGTTTACTCTGAAACAGTCTTAGTATTGCAGATTCATTAATTCATTCCCACACTACTCCACACTGCTCGCCTTTACTACTTCCTTCACAACTCCCTACGTCTTGGACCTGTTTCCCTTTCATTCCCATAGCATTCTAGGATTGCAGATACATAAAATGTAATTGCCACATACAGTTGACAGTTCCCACACTCTGCACTGCACTGCTAGGCTAGATAGAACGCTAGTGGAAATGGACTGGAGACTGGACTGGGATGGGACTGGTACATTATCAAGTAAAACCCAAAAATATAGACGCTAGTGAAAATGGACTGGAGGAGACTGGACTGGGATGGGACTGGTACATTATCAAGTAAAAACCAAAAATATAGACGTCACAAACTCCTATTTCAAACTACACATCCACAGACAGAGTACAGATTTTGCAGTTTGCTCGGCCTGCGCAAAAAAAGCTTAAAAATATTGTTTTGACATGAATCGTATCGCTCTATCTGCCGATATAAATACAAATATCGTTTTAGGCGATACGATACGTATCGTTTTTTAAATATTGTATCGAAACATCGTATCGTCCCTCGCGTATCGCGATATTCCGATAGGATACGATACGTATCGCACATCACTAATGTATACTGACTTCCTCATGAATATAGTTATTTGTGCAACTAGTGAGAAAAGTGAGCAATTGACTCACTCGAGAGAAATCCTTACTCACGAGCCGTAGGCGAGTGAGGAATGGTTTCTCGAGTGAGGCAATTGTACTTTGAACTCGAGTTGCACATTATATTTTTCCTACAGTTACCATAAAACAAATAAATTTGTGAAGAAACATAACCTATTTTTACACAGAAGTGAACTTTTAACATAACATTTAATGTGAAGTGACAAATACAACAGTACAACAGCTGACCAGCTGATTTACAGCCAGTGCTGCCAACGTATTTCGCGCGCATACGACGTTGCCTGCATGTTACGCGCTCACTATTTCGTGCCTTCACGTTGCAAATCTGGAGTGAGACAAAGTAATTAGAGTGAGACAATGTTCTCACTGATGAGCGAACTGGCCACTTTGCTTTCTCAAATCAGTGAGAGAACATGTACATTGTTAGGTAACTGTAGGAAAAAGTAGTTTTTTGAACTTACTGAATCGAATCTGAATTTCGATGCACCGTACACGCCCTAAAATAGCTGATTCCACCTTTTATGCACTTTCTATAACTTTAAGCAAATTTCTCTTACAGGGAAACTAAAAAAACTGTTGAGGGAAACTCTCAGGGGAATTTCTCTTACCGTAGTACTCATGGTAAGACCTGGACTCAGGACCGATTTACAATCTTAATTTATTTTTGAGATTATGATAAAATTCAAAATAGGAAAGGCCATAAAGTTTTACTCTGAATCACTTCATAATCGACAAATAGTTTTTCGGAGAATAAGAGTAAAAAGTTTAGTTTTTAATACAATCATATGCTGAAGTTCATGATCAACCTACTTATGGGAACATTTTAGGTTTTCAGTTCAGTTGTTTCAGGAACCACAGAGAAGTAAGGTACGAGGAAACTTGGTTTTGGGACAATGTGCAATGTTGTGTGTGCGCGAACATTCACGCTAAGGTCAATTGTGTCAAGCTAGGAAGAGTCCAATCGGCGAGCACTGTGGAAGATCCTTTCGCACAGGCTCTCCCTCCAGCATGAACGTTGTAGTGTGTGATAGCGAGAGGGGTTAGAAAAGGCGATGGTGTCGGACTTTGCCCTACATACCATCGAAAAACACACCCAACCACAAATTTTTTCAATGTAAAAATATAATTTTTAAATGTCAGGTGTCATTTATCTGACCTAAGCTAACATTGGTGGGGCAACCTCACATTGGGCCAAGGTAATAACATACGTCTATACGTAAACATTGCGTAGAAGCTCCATTATGAATTAGTGCAACAGCTGTATCAGTAGACCGGGACTTCGGCTTTTCCACTAATGTCTCGTGAGGCCATGGAGAGTCCTACGAATAATCAATTAACTGTGGATGGGTTCAAAATTTGTTTTAATTATTTGTATCCATAAAGACAAAATATGCATGGATAAATCTTTGAAATCCATGGATTTTAGAAGATTTAAACTTCCTTCTCTTTATACTTAAACTTATAAAATATTGTATCTTTAAAGCAAAGGTAACTCCTTAACAAGTCAGCATTATTAAAGAGTACAAAATAAGAACGTAATCCTGCTAAACCTTTGACATTTTTTTATTTACTTTTTTCTAATTAAAATCCATAACAGGTGTTTGTAGCTAAAACGGCTGCGACTCACTCAATTGTTTATATTAGTCTTTAGTAAAAAATCCAATACTTTGTTTAGCACTTAAATCCATATTTAAATCCTCAATAAAAATTCCGCTCTTCTCTTGTCTTAAGTAATTTAAGGTAGGCTTATTGTTTTCCAAGAAACATAGCAAAATGCTGCTGGATGAGCGGAAAATAGGAAAATACCTTTTCCACAGCTAGGAAAACCCTATATATTCACATGTTTGCACAGGATTTATAAGCTTTTTAATACCTCTATGGTAAAAGCGTAACTACTTTACGTCTACGTTAATAAAAGTGTACTTGAACAAATATAAAACACATAATTTTATTGTAAGTTCATAAATTTATACATTTTTAGCACAATATTTTGAATTATTTTATTAATAAAACACAGTATATATTTCCTTCAGGTCTCCTTTGAAGCTGTAGTGTTTTTCCAATTTATAAATTTCATCTGAATCTTCTTCTGATAGCGGTTCATGTGAAAGAACATAACGATAATCAACATTATTGTCCCCTGCAACAAAAGACGGTTTTAAAACAAAATAAATTGTAGCTAAGAACGTAGACTTTGGATATTGACAGTGAAATTTTATATGTGTGGACAATGAACCAGTTTTTTTACTCCAACTAAGAGAACATGTTTGACTACCTATACAGTACTGTTGTCGGGACCACGTAAGTTTGCAGATGGTGGCAGCCAATCACAAGGCAAGGCTAGTGTGACGTTGCCACATCGCCCATTGACAACACTAATTAAAATATACTAAGCAATATTGTCAAATCAGCTGGTATTATTGTATTAGATTTGGCAACACCGCACGGTTCTCATTGATTCATCCAAAACCATTATGGTGAATAGGCTCCTCCCTCAAGTGTATAGGTATATATTATTGAAATTCAATTTACTGTTTTAGATTTTCACTCCGATGGAGACATAGGAATGCCATAGTTTATAATATAAGTACAAATTTTGAATTTAAAAAATGTGTTTATGGAATCAATCAGTGCTTATTTCTCAAGGCAGTAAATTATTTATAACTCAAGTTATTTCAATCAAAAACTTGCTGCAATGGTAACAATGAAATGGAATGTCTATACGTGACAGGGTAAAATTTTCTCTATATTAGGCCTAGGGAAAACAAATAGGAATCATTTTTTTCTCATATTCTATTATCGTCGATACTGATGCTTGATGTGAAATCTGTACGTGTGTATACCTTCAATTTGATACCTCAATCATGCAAATCGGTCAGGTAGAAGAGCCAAACGAACTTGGAGCAGAAAAACCAAGTTTTTGCAAATATACAAGATGGTCCATGAAATGAAAAAATAAGGTTTTGCATTTGAAGATAATGGATCAAATGTTTTTAAACAGTTGAATTATTAATTGAACGCTCTGAAAAACGTTCTCTATTTAAAAACTTTTCTATTTAACACTAAACAGCAACCAAATATATAATGGTCCTTGTATGTACTATGAGAAAGGGAACACAAACAATTTTTAAGTTTTAAAGCTATGTTTAGACCATTGACTTTATATCTACTCCAATAAGTGTATATGTGTAGATATAAAGTCAATGTTTCATACTAAATCCATGAAAACCAAGACTGTCATTAGAGAAACTATCAAGTGTACACAACTTCGAAACTAAATTTGAGAGTTCTTCATCAATTATTTATCACTAAGGTAAGGGTATTTTCTTACCTCCATTTTTCCCACAGACAAAGTAATATGCATACTTTGATGGCTTGTATTTCAAGAAGTACACTTGAAACTCATTTCCATCTGAAAAAAAAAGGCTATAAAAGATTTAGCACTTAAACAAACTGTCATTATTCCTTTAACTAACACAGGCGTGTTATAAAACACAAATAGTTTTGTTATTTTATATGCTGTCCTTTTATTGAAAAAAAATAATGCAATGAGTGTAAAACAAAAATTTTGTCGTAAACATTTATCAGATATTTTCTCTTCTTGGACGAATAAAACTTAATTACTAGATAAGTAATTCAGTAGACCCCCTTTTAACTGTCTTGCATTATCCACCCTCGCTAGTGAAAAATTACAGATTGTTTTAACACAACCTTGTTTTGAGAGCAGTTTGGTTTAACCACCTCTTCTCACGGCAAGGGGGGTTAAGGGGAGAAGCGGTTGGTGCTAGACACCACTAAGTGGACCATTAAATGTTTCACCTGTACTTTACTGTGTCCAAGTCCGACTGATAAATGATTCCGACTGCCTATTTTCTCACCTTTAGTTGTAGCTTTAAGTAGTCCATTTCCAGCATTTTCTATTGTTTCGTCAGAGAGTAATCGTTTTTTACCCTGTGCACTGTAAAAATACAAAATTAACACACTTCTGGCTTTGTTATTCCAATTATTGATTCAAGAATGGATTGTTTATGAATTGCACTTCAAATAAGGCATTTCACACTTTATTTTATTCTTTCTGTATGTGTCCACCAACAACTGTTTTTAACAATTTACATTTTGTGTATTCATATAATGAAAGAAAAACATGAAAAAATAGTACCGTGAAATTATTGAATAATCTGAGGGGTTTAATTTACAGTTTTCATACAAATAAAAAATATCCAATTCTAGGCACTTACACTGTGGAAGTGATAGTAGATTTGTACATCCCATCTTCTCCCTTGTTTACTGTAAGTTCTAGATTGGAAATGTCAGAAAGAGCCGGTGTATCAGGAATTTTGACAAAGTTCCATTTTCCATTATTCTCCTTTGCAAACTGAAGAAGAATGACTACGCATTATTTTCACATACACATATTTTAAATACAAGAGCATAATTGATTATCTTCAAGTAAATTACTACCTAAAAAATTATAATATAAAGGAAAACTAATATTTTGAAGATTAACAATGGCAGTATCTACATATAAGGTAGTGTGCAGGGTGTTCAAAATAAACCCTCAAATTGTAATACAAACATTTTTTAAAATTTAAACTCTTAAAACATAGCGCAATGATTTTTATTGAAACTTGTTTGATTTTGTTGAAACTTATTTTTCTACATTTGTCTTTCTGTTCAAGCTCGACATTTTTACTTATAACAACTTGGAATGAGCCAAAAGAAAAATACCCCCGCCGCAGCAAACCTGCAGACTAAGCGAATTTCCATTTGCCTGATTGGATTTACACTAAAATGTCTACTTAAAAATATAACATTTATTTCCTATTTAAATAGAATTAGTATAACAAGTACTTAGGTTTGCTGCATCAGGGAGGGTAAAACTGTTTTTTTTTTTTTTTTTTTTTTTTTGTAAAATGTCAATAGTTAGTAAGAAATAAAAACATTTTCCAAATTTGATCAAAATATGTTCATAAACAAGCAAACTACAACAGTTTACTTATTCTCCATAAGAATAACATGGGAATTTTAAATTTACAGTTTTTTGGAATTTTCTCCGTAACCATTAGGCGCATAATAACGCTTCAATATACTAAATTATTTGTTTTTTTGAGCTCTACAAAATGGTTTGGAAAGAAATTGCTAAATTTTATGTTTTTTGGGTCAAAAATGGGAAAAACCTATTTTTACCCCATAAAACCCCCCATAAACCCCCGTTCCCATGGTCCGATCATGCTGGATCGCGAACTCGTTCAAATAAACGTAGGTTTACACGTTTGTGCCAAATTTTATCAAAATCGGATCATTTTTGCTCGAGTTATCGTGCTAACGGACACATATATATATATATAAATATATAAATATATAAATATATATATATATATATATATATGAATTTGAACGGATGGTGTTTTTGGCCTCTAGGGACCTCAAAACGAAAAAAAAAATCGGTCCCGCGTCCAGGTCTTACCTAGTGAAAACTTACTATCGATAGTACTATCGATAGTATCGATAGTTTGAAAATATCGATAGTGGGTCGATAGTATTATACTATCGATGAGACTATCGATAGTTTTTTTTACGTTAAATTAAGTAAAGAAATCATTATCTGGTACTCTTACATTTCATTGTTTGTCTGTTAATGCATACCTATAGTTAATATTATAGACTATTTTTTTTTAATTCATTGTAGAAAAGCTTGGTAGACAAGTAGGCTACCTTCTCAAACATTTGAAAGCGGGGGCATTTGCTAATTCACTACCGGACTTATGGGTACATTTATTTGCCTCGTGGGTTTTAGCATACAAAGTAGACACCAGTATACGGTATTTTCCTTTGATCTATGGTTTTAGATTGTCATAATATATATATATATATATATATATATATATATATATATATATATATATTATTTATGCTATGTGAGTAAAAAAATATTTTTGTAGCGAATAATAAAAAGAAAATAGTAAGAGAATTTTCCTTTTTTTTATTGTTATAACCCTTAAAAAAACTTATTGTTATTTTATACAAATGTTGTAATATTTTGTAAAAAAACATAAAGGGGGCTCCAGGGCGTCACTCATAAATTGTTAAAATTAATACTCTGATACAGCTTTATCTTCGACTAGGTAGAAACCATTGTTTAAACTCATGCAGGCAGGATATATACAATATTATATGCATTAAAATTCCATTTGAGTGACTATCGATAGTTTTTAAAAAACTATCGAGAACTATCGATAGTGTGACTATCGATAGTAAGTTTTCACTACTCTTACCATGAGTACTACGGTAATAACTTATTCCCTATATGGGAAATTCGCTAAAAAAAACAATCATTATCATTTTTCTCCAACTCAACCTTTACCTGAAATTAAATTTGATTCAATCAGAAAGTTTTATGTGTTTTTATCCAATTAATAAACTTAAATTTGTATTATTGGCATTTTAAATTCATTGACGCAAATGAAGAGTTTAGGTTAGCTGTTGAGATAGTGATTACAACTTTTCCGATTATCAATCAACTTCCAAAAATGAAGGTTGTTATATATTTATAAGTTATAATGTAGATATATGTTGATGGACTTGAAACATTAATGAATTCATTTAATTTGTTAATTCTAAACAAATTGTAACATTTAAAATTTATACTTTTCACGGCGACTCAAATAAGGGGAGCAACTAGAAATTAAATTTATACTAAACCATTTTATACTCTACAACACTCGACCCTTTTACCAAAACTACTTAGAAATATGATAGCAAACATAAATAAAAAATAATTAAGCTTTACCTGTTCAAAATCTACGTTAGGATCAGTCTGAATGGTGTTTCTGCATGGTCCAATGTAATCCAGCTCTGCTCGAACCGAAATGAAGAAAAACAATCCTGTAGCTAGCAAAACCCCTAACATGTTGTTTGTTTGGATGTACAACCAGTATTGCCTTGCCTACTGCTCATTGCTTTATATACAAGTGCGTACAATATGCTACATTTGCATATGAAGCCACTGTCACTCTGCTCAAATTGTGCTTTGTACTTTTGACATTGTAATTTTGCGTCGCAATTTCAAAAATTTGCATTGCGTCTGTTGTGGATCTGCATATGTTGTTTTTGTTGAATAATGATTTTAGTGTTGTTATGTTGTGGTGTTGTTTGTCAATAAAAATAAAGGTAAAAACCATAAACTTTGGATTATTGAGTTTTCATTCATAAAATCAAGGATTTTCGGTGAAATTATGTTCTTGAGTGAACTCAAAATCAAAACAAAAAGAATAAAGTTATGAAGAGACAATTAAGAGTTTATGTGGAAAGAGGGGGCAAGGTTGCACCAAAGGCTTTTGCTAGGCTGAAAAGTGTAGGACTTTGATTACAAAAAATGCTGGATAACTGAGCACCTTGCGCCATTATTGGAATATTTTCATAAGTACTGCTAAAATAGAGTAAAGAAAGGTATCAGGCCACTGACCTCTACCAACTGCTAGAAAACTCTGCCAAACACACGGGAATTCCACTGAATACTGATTTAACTGTAATATTAAATGTGCCAAACGAGGTATTACATGTAAAGCAAACAAGTTTGTCTAGCATTTAAACCGGTTTCTAGTCAAATGCAAACTGAACAAAATAATACAAGCTATAACACACTAATTCCCTCTCCCTGGATACAGTTATAAATGAAACGATTAAATAGCCCACACCACGGGTTGTGTCATCTGAAGACAATTTTAAGGACATGTCAGATAATTCTAGAGTGTGTTGATGTACCATCTTTATTCAAAAGTTATTTCACTATCTAATAAAAACAATTGAGCAAATAAATCAATAAATTTGTAAAATTTCTGGTATCATCATTAATGAGCAAAACCCACACTCTAAATTTACTCTAAAATAAGTCAAACATTTAATTTACATTAACCATGTCAAACATTGTCAGTCATGTAGGATAAATTAGTCAGCTTTCGAGATTGCATTAAGTTGAGAAGTGTCAAAAAGTATTTTTTAAATACTCTTTTTTCTAAAATACCTCAAAATGTGTACACATTTGGACAGCGTCAAAACCTTTGTTTACCTAGTAACAACATTTAATAGAACCATTATGCAATCAAAATTTGAAAGTTTTAACACTGAACCACGAGAGCACCATCCTTTATTGTTGATATTTTATTTCAAATAACAATCTATTAAACTAATTAAAACGAAGATGTACAGTGAACCTCTATAGTCAGATACTTTGTGCCTATAAGGTGTCGAAGGAGTATATTGGACATTTACTCAGTGAATGTTTAAAACACAAGATAAAGCAAACAGATTAAATAAATAGTACTAAAACTCGACGAAAATAAATAAAGTTATCAACTTACATCCCTACCACACATTTTGTTCCTTCTTACTGTATAAAATCGTTTGTAATCTGCTTTTCACTTTGAATGATTGGAGTATTGAGTTTTTTCTTTTTGCCTGCACAAATGCAATGCGAAGGCTCTAGTTTTTGACCTTGGCAAACCATTCATTGGCCGCTGCCGACATGTGATGTTATCACGGCCCTTGTCGAACTATAGGGAGTGTCGAACTATCAAGGTTCTACTGTACAAAGTTAAGTTTTCAATGCTTATTTTACAATTAAAATTGACTGAAAAGAAATTCAAAGTTTTTAAGAGAAAGATAATGCCGTTGTATCACATTTAAATGATATTTCAATGATATTTAATAACCAATCCAGTATAATATAATTTATTTGACAGGACTTTCAATAAAACACTTTTTCAACTTTTGAACTATATATTTTTCCTTGAGATATAATATCTATAATAATTACAAAGACCGAGAAATAATTTGAATTACAAAACAATCCGTTGTAGACAGAGATTTTTAATTGTAAAAAAAATTACAATGTAAATGATTATAATCTATATAAATCAATCTTTAAAACAATACATTAATATGTATACATAAAAAAAAACACTTTTTGTAGTAAAACTTAAATAGTATTTTTTTACATTTAATATTCTCACATTGTCTCAGGGAAGGGGAATGTTTCATGATGCTCAACTCCAAAACATAACTTACATAAGTCTTTCACGGTCTATGACAGATCTTCAATGACATTTCTTTGAACAATGTGTGCGTTCTGTGTACATGTACCGCCCCGAGGTAAGAGTCTTGGCTTCCCAGAACGGTTAGCCACTGGTTTACGCACACTAGATTAAAGTTTCAAACTTACATTCACAGAATAAGTTTAGTTATGATTTTCTTGCGTTCATTTGCATAATATAATAATTCATCAAATTGATACACAATTATTTCGATGGATCCACCATCTTGCTGCAGACTGATGTCCATGAAACTGGCCAATCAGAGGGCTCTGGAGTCTTACACTATAGATAAAATAATTAAATATAGACCGTCAGCCGTGCTGCATTGCCATGGGTTCTGGCACACACCGCTGGGAGCGTCATGTAGTTACGGCGTAGGTGCTACATAACTACACTGCACTTCAAGCGGTGTGCGCCAGAACCTATGGTAACCATAGCAGGCCGACAGTCTATATTTAATTCTTTTCGTCCATGATGACGCTAAGTACGATTTCCTTCACCAGTGGAGGAAAAAAAGAAGACGAAGCTGTCTGCCAGGTAAACTCACCGGTCTCCCAGGACGATGCATTTTCCGCACCCATACATGTTCCCAGAACACACATGTGTGATATTTCCCCAATTTTACTACATTCCCTTCTTCCCTTAAACATCATTACTCATATGATATCCACAATACTCTTAAGATTATTCTTAAAATATTCTTGCAATAAAAGGTTTTAAAAAATCAATATATAATTCAGACATAATTTAAAAAATATAGTCCATCATATTTTATAGCGTAACAGCTATTTTACAACAACTTTGTGTGTAAAATTGAAAAACAATATTAAATATTAGGTTACATAGTAAAGCAAATAATACCTGGCCGGTTGAGATATGATTTGCGAAATTTAAGTAATAACTTTATTTTATTTTTAAATCCAAACTGTAAACGAGACACATAGTAAAATAAAGAGTCGAGTGGTTATATTGCTCGTCTTTAAATCTGAAAGTCGCTGGGTTCAATTCTAAGCAAGATCATTACCAAATACCATTTGTCATTGGGCTCAGTTAATGATGCTTTCTAACAAAAGGTCGTTAGTATCAAGACCAGGGTTAGGACAGTTCCATTACCGAAAACGTAGAAAACATAGTGCAAATAACACTAAACATTTTTTGACAAAACTATTTAAAATAATAATTTTTCAATTGAGAATAATTGTAATTAAGTTATAAGTGAAAAGTTTGAACAAAACATAAGTATAAAGAATAGAACTAATACGTTCAAATGGTTTTTTTCAGCATTTCGGTGGGTGGAATGAATGGCTATTGTAGGTGAAAACCTACAACAAGGCTGTTTTCAAATTTGACTACTTTAATAAACAAAAAAGTCATTAAGTTTTTCACATTTGTACACCACCTGGTATGATAAATACTAGATTAACCAGAAAAAATGTTAATTTTATCCATAAAGTGGACAAACTATCAGTTTTAAATTAGTGCAAGTCTTTTTAAACAGTAAATTTTAATTGGTTTCAAAAATGAAAATAAATCTTGTTACACTTGTAGCAATAGTGGTTGGACAAGTAAAAAACAATATTTCTATAAAAAAAACATAAGGCTTAAAAATAGCAATTCAATATTACGCCCTGATTCCCAAACCGGCCACATATTTACATTTTGGTACATGGTACCAATCAAAACACAACAAACCGAAATATCTACACAACTAAAGCGAGAACACATACAAGTTAAAATTAATACAATCACATAAAACAGAATCATAGCTAAACGACAAGGTTCAGCGACCGACCTGAAGATACGACAAAAACACGGATTACAACTGACATCCAACTAACTATTATTGTGCCACAACTCTAAAACATGAACTACGTGGCACGCTACGACTATACGATCCTCGCCAAAGTATTTTATTTTCGTCACGACCTGCGACGCGTCTTACTCTAATGGTATATCAGTTAAGGATATTGCGGGTCCGACAAAACATCTGTTTCACCTCGCACTTTAGTCGAAGAGATTGTTCAGAGTAAAAAAAATATATTTGAAAATCAACCTTCGAACAACTTCCTAGGAACTTGGTATGCCCCTAAAATAAATGAAAATATATACAAATGATAAGATCAAATGAAAATGGGACCTAAATCAATTAAAATTTCAAGTCAAAATATCTAAACTGTCGGCATGACTCCACTCTAAATTCGAAGATGTATTCGGTTTTTTTTATTAAATATTCAAAATTCAACTAATTGAGATCCCATATTTTAAATTTGAGAAACCGATGCCAACCCACCAAAAGAGATGTAGGATATGCGAGAATGTTCTCTTATTGGTGAATATTATGTCTAAATATTATGTTAAGCGTGAAAATAACATTTCGGGCAAATATGAAAAAAGAAAGATATGAACATTTGATAAGTTGACATCGGTTTTTTCTAAGCTAGGCCTAACTTATGCCTCAGTCTTACTCAGTCTATAATAAGAGAAAACAAACTTACACTATCACAAAATCTGGACTTTTACAACATAAACAAAGGTGAAGGTGATGGTTTGTGCAAAATTTCACAACGTTAAAACTGTTAAATACATACAATGACCTTTCTTGTACTTGAATAAGGGCGAATCGATAAATTAAACTCTTCTTGTAACAGAATGAACAACAATTAATGTTTTAAAAAAACGACTAGATTACATTACACCTGTCTTTTTACCTTTCGGCCCAAGTAAGGACTCAAATCAAGAGCATCCGCTGTTTACAATATATATATTACCAAAGTTGTCAAATACAAAGTAAAATGGCATGAAAAAATTATATAAAAAAGTATGAGCACTTCTCAATTTTTTATTTCAATTCATATCTGTTGTTTTGTTACTATTTATATTATAGTAATAAACTAAATAAATCAAAGTGATAATACTCTATTCAGAAAGCTACAACCCTGTTTTGAAGAATCCTGGGCATTGTTTCCAATAAAAAAATTTATAATCAGCAGATACTCACACTAATCTCGACCGAAGCGAACCT